AGAGGAAGACGTTGCGTGCGTCGAGGGGGACGCCGGTGAAGACGTCGTCGATGGCGCGGGGGTAGCCCTTGTCCACTCTCTGGACCTTCACATCCAACCTGTGGGAAGAGCAGAGCCATGCTGGGGGCTGCTGGGAGCCCTCGGTCCCAGCCCCTCGCTGCGGGGGAGCCAGCAGGTGCCACCATGGCCTCCAGTAGCTCTCCCCGCTGAAGAGCAGCACTTTGCCGCGGCCCCGCTGCAGGGCCCCCGAGATGCGGCTGGCTTCCTTCCCGATGCCCAGCTTCTCGATCCCCCGGGGGCCCAGCACACTCTTGCCAGAAAACACCCAGAACTGCCGACCTGCAGCCAGGAGAGAGCACGGGCATCAGCTGGCCCCGAGGGTGCCAGGGCAGCACTGGGCTCCTTGCGACACCAGCAGCACCAGGGCCAAGGCCAGCAGGGGCAGAGCTCACCGGCGAAGAAGAAGACCCTCTTGGTGAGCGCGTCCTGGAAAGCGGCGTCGATGACAGGCGGGAGGGCGGGCCAGGTGTCTGCGATGGAGAAGGCACCCTGGATGCCTGACTTCCAGAAGGACAAGCGGGTCCAGTATTTCCTGGTGGGGAAGGTCATCTGTCCTGAGGATCTCAGCCTCCGTGCCCCCCCCCATCCTCGGCACAGCCCTATGACCCTCCAGATCCCGTCATCACCCCGGCACTTGCCAGGGCAGGAGGCATCGGATGCTCCTGCTCACCCGTCCTTGAAGAAATGCAGCTCCCCGTTGATCTCCGTGATAGCATCGAAGTTCTTCTCCGCACAGGCGTCCCAGCTGGGGTCCACGGGAATGGGCTCGGTCGTGGGCTTCAGTGTCTCCTCCTCCTCGTCCTCCTCAGTGGTGGAGGTGCTGCCGGCCTCTGTCGGCATGGGCTGGGGCTCCTTGGTGGGCGCGGGTACAGGGGCAGTGGGCTCAGGGCCAGAGCCACGACCTGAGCAAATACAGGGGGTGCGTGAAGCTGAGGATTAGCCCAGTGCCACGGGCCCCCCAGCACGCCCAGCTGCAGGGCAGCCGCTCACCATAGAGGTACTGGATGCCCTGGACATCATCTGGGTCCAGCTGGAAGTCCTGGACGTAGCTGTACATGGGGTACATCAGGGCCTCGCGCACACTGGAGTGGTCCAGCCCCAGCGAGTGCCCAAACTCGTGGGCAGCCACCAGGAAGATGCTGTAACCTGGGAGAAAGTACCAGCCTCAGCACCCGGTAGGATGGGACATGCGACCCCTGTGGGGAGCGCACCAGCATGGTGGCATGATGTGGGGCCAGGTGACACAAAGGAAAGTGCGGGCAGGGGAGCTGGTACCTCTGTCAGGGCAGAAGCCCCACTTTTTGTCAGTGTCGTAGTTGCTGGTGGTGGCACACCAGAGCTTGCCGTCTTGCCGGCCCTGACTGGTGCAGGTGCTGTAGAACTGCCCCAGGAAGGTGAAGGGGAAGACACACGGGTCCCCCTGGGAGTTGCCGCCGATCACCGCCGTGTCTGAAGTGCAGCATCAGTGGGGCTGGGCCCCGC